AGTTTTTTTTTTTTTTTGAAAGTCGGCATTGTCGAGTTAGACACAGCTTCTTAAAAGAAATTATACCTTACTTTGACAGCTACTTCATTACAAATCATTTCCAGAAAATATAAATACAAATAAAAGGAGAGGCTCGGGAATTTAAAGTCACTGTTTAGGATGATGCAGTGAAATTTTACTAGTTGCTTTGTTATTGGAGATAAATAGTCAGACAGCTAATTAAATAAATATCTTACCAATGGAATTTTCTTGGAAGACATTGTTATCCCTAGCTAGGAGCCACTTCCATGCATAAAAACTACTTGGATCGTACTGAATTATAGAAGGGCTCATTGTGTTTTCCGTCCTTATTTGTCTATAATGATCCTTATCCTTAGCAGATGATCCAAGAACTTACGTACAAGTTTCCTTGAATCTTCTTGTCCGTCTCTAAATACATGTTGAAAATCAATTGCTCTTTTATATAGAGTATTGTATATCAGTACTCTGTATGTTTAACTGTCATTAGTTTGAGTTCTGTTAACGGGGCTTAATGCAGATTTTCCCAGAAAGATGGCGTGAACAGTGGAACCAATGGGAACTACGTTCGTTGGTGCTACTCAGCCTTTCCTTGCAAATTATCCTCAGTTTCTTTGGTAATCGGAGAAAATATATAGCAAGAAACTGGATCAGTTTTATTCTTTGGTTGGCCTACTTATCAGCTGACTATGTTGCAACTGTCTCACTGGGCATCCTTGCCAGTAATCAGGGAGATTTAGATGATGATTCCCTTGATAATGCTATAATGTCGTTTTGGGCACCATTTCTTCTCTTGCACCTTGGGGGCCCTGACACCATAACTGCGTATTCTTTGGAAGACAATGAGTTATGGCTTAGGCACTTGCTTGGTCTTGTTACCCAGGTTGGGGTGGCATTTTATGTCTTTATAAGATCCTTGAAGCCAATGAAGCTCAACTTCGTAGCTATTCCAATGTTCATTGCTGGAACTGTCAAGTATGGGGAGAGGACTTGGGTTCTCAGGTCTGCAAGCAGTCAGCATTTTAGGGAGTCGCTTCTCCAACGTCCAGATCCAGGACCCAACTATGCCAAGTTTATGGAGGATTACAAGTTGAAGGAAAGGGAAGGATTTGAGCTGTCGTGTACTGCAAATCAGGCTTTTACAGTTGTCCCTCGTACCAACTCATTTCAGGGAGGTAGCCTCATTCCTGATGGTGCCATTTTGATTGCTGCTTATGATTTCTTCAACACGTGTAAGAGGCTCTTTGCAGATCTCATTCTCAGCTTTCATGATATTGAAAAGAGCCACTCCTACTTTCAGAGGTGTCATTGGGATGAGGCTTTCAAAGTGATTGAAGTTGAGCTTGGATTTGTGTATGACTTATTCTATACAAAGGCAAGTATAGTATATTCCAACTGGGGTGTTTTTCTTCGCTCTGTGAGTTTATCTTCTACTATTATTACTTTAGCAACTTTCACCGCGATTGACAGGCAGGGATTTAAAACTGTTGACGTGAGTATAACATTTTTGTTGCTCATTGGAGCTATTTTCCTTGAGATTTATGCAATTCTTGTGCTGCTTTCATCGGAATGGACAATGCTTCGGCTCAGCAAACGAGAAAAATTTCCAGTGAGTCAGACTTCTAAAGCCATATCCACGTTCAAATTTATAACTAGCAAGAACAGATGGTCAAATTACATGGAACAGTACAGTCTTATTGGTTCTTGCTTCAGAGGTGAGCCCGGTGATTTGCATGGAGTCCAAAGGCGTGGCTGGATTCACAAACATGTTCATGGCAATATAACTTCAGAGAGTGTATCTCCTTGTCTGAAAGAATTTGTCTTTGAAGAGCTTGTGGAGAAATCAAAGGTTGCCTCAAACTTTTCAATTTCTAGGCAATTATGTGCTTGCAGGGGTGAGCAGGTACTTGGAGAGAAAAACTGTCTAGATAGACTTGGTTGGAGCGTTGAAGTCGAGTTTGATCATAGCATTCTGCTATGGCATATTGCTACAAGTCTCTGCTATTGTTATGATCAGAAAAGGAATCCAAGTTCTGTTCTTGATTCAAGATGTAAAGTCAGCAAGTTAATATCAGAATACTTGCTGTACATTCTTGTCAAGCGGCCTTCTATGATGCCTAATGGAATTGGGCAGATCAGGTTTCAAGATACAATTTGTGAAGCAATAGAATTCATTCAAGAAAGAAAATTCATATCAAATGCCTCCTTAGCTTGTGAAAAGCTACTGCAAGTAGACACCAGGATTGAACCTGCAATTGTCAAAGGAGACAGAAGCAAATCTGTGCTATTTGATGCCTGTAGACTAGCCAAAGAATTGCACTCAGTAGAACAAGAAAGGAAGTGGCACACAAACGAGAAGTGGGAGTTAGTAAGTCATGTATGGCTGGAGATGCTATCATATGCTGCCGGTCAATGTAGGTGGAATCAGCATGCTCAGCAACTTAGACGAGGTGGAGAGCTGCTCACTCATGTCTGGCTATTAATGGCACATCTTGGCTTGACAAAACAATTCCATATTTCACGAGGTCATGTTAGAGCTAAAATTTTAAGGCAGTAGCAAGACTACCAACTGAAGCTGAAAATCGAAAGGTCTAGCTGATAATTCACTTGAAAGGTCAACCCCCCTCTTGTACCATATAAGTAAAAGATACCATGCATCAGATTATTTTCTTTATCATTTACTCTCTTCTTCTTGTTGTTGTTGCTACTGAAATAGATTATAGAATTGTTTATTGTGTTCTTTTCTTCATCACGATCCAAGTATACTAATCAGTGGGGCAGGCCAAAGTAGTGATTCAGGTGCTTGTTTGATGCTGTATTTAATGTACAATCTGGAAATTTTGCATTTTGTCATATGCTAACTAATATTCTAACGTCAGTGCAATTTTATAACACCTAAATTAAATGCATGTTCTTACAAAATAGTTAAAAGACTCGGTACACTTGTGTTTACATGGCTTCAGATATGCAAAAAAATGGATGCAGACATATACCGCCAGTGGTCCTGTAAAAGAAATGTGCCAGAAATTGTAGAAATTGAATTGTTGGTTTTGAAGTTCAAAGATTTCAATCCTCTCAGGGGGCCAAAACGTTGCTACTTAGATTCTGAAAGAAAACAACTCTTCTGCTGGTATGCAAGGGCTAAAGCAACCAGAGAAGATCTTCCTCTCATCTCCTTTTCTTAGGCATTAGCTTTGTTTTTTTCATTCCGGATTCCAATTCTTTTAAGACTGTTGGATAGAACTTTGTTTGTCTTTCCTACTTCTATTTTTTTTTTACAAATTTGGTTTTTTATTTTTTTGACTGTAGAAGGGTTCTAGTGACATTGAATGGAAGCACCACGAAGAGGTAAAAAGATATTCCTAAAGTGGTGAAGAGTTATTGAAACATTTCTTAAAATAATGAGTGTCGTAGCAAACAGAAGAGAATTAGAAAGAAGCTCTGCAAACATTTCTGTTTGCAGCCTCCTCGTGGGTGTGTTGAGGAATAATACTTGTATGGTGGCAGCAAGTAGATGTTATTCTGATAACATATTGTCCTTTGTTTTGATTCAGTTTGCTTTGTTGTACTGATAGTTAATATTAAGGTTAAATTTGAGTTGTCCTTTGATGTGTTGGTTTGCATGTAAATCAACATTACATTTGTTAAATATACTTGCAGTTGTCTTTCTGTAGACAAGGTATATAAACCTTGTTTTTTGTATTGATGAAACAATTTTCTGATCATTATCTCCAATTCATATACTCTGCTCTTTCTCGTTTTATTACATTAACAGGGTGAACTCTAAAAACATCATCATTGAATTTGACTCCAAAAACATTATGTCTTGGGTATCCAACCTTAGTATAACCCCATGGCGGCTGCAACAACTTATTCTTTAGATTTGTCCAATCAAAAACAAAGTGGCTAGTGGTCAGCAAATTAGGCACATCTCAAGGTCAAATAATGAGGCTGCAGACAACCTTACTAAATCAGGGGTTAACAGAATGCATGATCTTCTAAGTCTTTATCCTTAACTGTTTTTGATGGTGCCCTCTCCTTGTTTGCTGCTACTTGTTGCTGGGTTTTAATGCATGCCTCGGTGACAGAGAGCTTTCCTGGGCTCCTATGCTCTGGAAAAGGCACTGACCACCCTTGGGAACAACATGAACTTAATGACCTGCAAGAGGATGAAACACTCACAGTGTTTATGTTCCCCTCTCTTACTTATCCCTCTACCTGTTTTTGCTTCAAGCCAGGTTGTGGTCTTTTGCTTATTTTTTTGGTTGTCAACTCTCTTGTACAAGACTTAGTTTTTGTTGACCAATTTTTATACGTCAGCTCCAGAGTAAGATCCTGATCTGATTTTACCAGATTTCTTCTCTTTTTGTGTACATGGGTTTTCTCCTTTTGATATGAATACACCACATATTTAATTTTTTAAAAAAAACTCTGGATGAGAATGTTTTAAAAAAAAGCTTATTAAATGAATTATAAAAGCTCTATGTATAACATCAAAAGTGACTGAAAGTAGTTTAGAGAAAATTCATCATCCAAGTAATATCTCATTTGTTTCTAACTTATATTAACCGTAAGTTCTTCATTAAGACAATCTTAATAGGTCAATATGAAAGTTGCAAGATTAATATAGATAAGTTAAAAAGTAGACATCGAGTCAAATTTTTTATCTAGTCTAGATATATGATGAAATGATTAAATTATACTGAAAAGTTAGTCAAATTATATTAACTTTTTTGATATTTGGATAGTCATGATGTATTGATAGATACCACTTATAATCTATAAATATAAATATAAATTCTTAATTGAATTGATTTATATTTATTGTCAATATATCAGGGACGTAATAGGTATACATAATAAGATAACAAACTAAAATTAAAATAAGGCTAGTATTTAATTGAAAATTAAGAATTTTCAATATAAACTTAAGTAAATTATTTAATTAAGTGGAAAGATTAAAATATAATAAATTAAAAATTAGATTTAACCTAATTATAAATACTTTTTATATATGTGTTGTACTTTGTAAGAAGAAAGTGAGAAAAGATAATGGAAAAATAAAGGAGAAAAATCCGGCATCATTTTCTTAAGAAAAAATTTTCTTGTCTTCTTTTAAAGTCAAAAACAAATAATATTTGAGAAATGAGATTTTTCAAATAACCTTAGCTACTAGCATTGCAGCATGACACCACATAATCCCAACTTAGTATAAATTTTTCAATTGACATCTGTGTGAATCATTATCGGAAATTAGACATATGACAGCTTTGCTTTACGACAACCGAGCTTTGATGTACAATCAAGTGGAGGGATTTTGACATGTGATTTTTGAAAATACCTCCTCAATGTATATGGTTGAACATATATTTATTTTTAATATATCAATTGAGCAACATAAGTGATCCAAAGATGATTTCGGTTTTGTATGTTTATATTCCGTTACATTATATGAATGTGATTCCTTCTCCAAGCATACTCAAAATCCTTCATAAGTAGCATGCATGCTGGGTAAAAGAATCAATCAAGAATGAAATAGGATGATTATTTAAAAGGTAAAGAAAAACCTTTACATGAAGAGTTAAAATTACTTCCGCTCACTCCATTTTCTTAACCAATTTTTTATATATAAAGAAGCCCTGCTTGATGCCTCTAGGGAGGTTAGCTGTTGTCAAAGTAAATTTGAAAGTTTAATCCTGCATTATACTTGTGCTAGGAACTTTTCAGCAATCTCCCCCACCAAATAATATGTAAAACAATAATTAAAAAAAAAATCAAATTCCTGACAGAATAAGAACCAGATACAATTTATACCAGCTACTTCAGCTAAAGGTGCAAGAAAGATTTCTCCTTTTTTGGATTATTATTTATCAACAAAGATAAAAAGCAGAAGATCTGCTACAATTGTTAAAAAGGAGGAAAACAGCCATTAGCAAAGGAGACAAGGCTACTAAACAAGATTAATGATAGAACTAGAATACACCAGAAGGTTTCGACGAACACAAACACAAGAGAAGACACCAATCAAGAAGCAAATAGAGTGTTTTGACTGATGATCAGCCATAAAAGAGCATTTTGTCCATGGATTTCTCAGAAACTTTGCAAAAAGTACAACTCTATCGGAATAGACAAGGGGCAATAGGTTGAACAACAGCAAAGAAACTTTGAAGTTTGCTATCCACGAAGCATTTGGCTTAATTCGCCGCGAATTCCTGCATGACACAATGAAATGAAAAATCTAGCCATAGAGTATTGTCTGAAACAGAAAGACTAGTGACAGCTCCCGCTTCCAAACAAAAATGTTGGACAGAAACAAGGACTAATGGTACTAAAAGAGGAAGACTTACCTCAAACCTCAGTTAAATCTGACGAGAAAACTTTTAATCTTCCACAAAGACAGAAGGTATATGGGCAATCTTATACCAATCCTGCCCATGGTATCTAATAACCCTTGCTTTAAATTGCTCAGTCATACCTTTTAGCTTCAACTCACGGCAATGAACTAGGTGTAGAAAACCATTTGGGATCATCTTTAAGTTTTCACAATACCGAATTTCTATGTCCTTCACAATCGCTAGAGCTCCTTTTTGGACCTCCAATACCTCTAGGCCTTGCAACTTCCAAAGTTTTAGAACTCTAAGCAAAGGAAAGCACCCTGTGGAGCAAACCATAAGCTTCCCTGTAAAGGAATCGGCTAACAACTCAAGAACTCGCAGGTTTGGGAGCTTCTCTAGGTTAGGCATTGGATCATCCAAAAGTCCTGACAATGACAGTGTAATCTCTGTGAGATTTTCTGGGAGTTTCTGCACTACTAGTGGATTCAGCCTTCCCATTAAGTATATAGAGGAGAGATTTTTTAGGTTCGACAAAGGTCTTAAGAATAAAGTGGAAGGTTGAACAGATTCATCAATTGATCTCAGCCTTAAAGATTCTAGGTAACTCAATCTTGCAATCCACTTGGCCAAAGACTTCTGCTGTGACAATGTTAACCGGATCACAAGTCCTAACTTTCTAAGGTTAATTAACCTGTTCAGGCCACCCTCTACTGGGATCTCCTCATCCAGAAATGCTCCCCATAACGTTTGGAGATCAATTGGAGAGCAGGCACTTGGTGGAGCAACAAATCTACAACGATATCTGTCACTCAAGTATAGGTGTCGGAGTCGCTGCATCTTCCATATAGTATTAGGAAGGGTGCTAATATGTGTGTTTTTCAAATCCAACGTCTGGAGCTTTGGCAAGTAGCCAATTGATGATGGGAGCATCTCTAAGTAAGTTCCTCTCAGGCCGAGATACCTCAGTTCTTTCAGCTTCCCTATTCCTTTAGGTAACTTGGGTCGAAATACACCTTCAAGGTCAATTATTAGCAACCGCAATAAAAACCTTCCCAAGATTCCTCTGCGAAGAAAGTTCCCTATGTCATCTCCAGGTTCAGGTCCTTCCCGAAAATCAAATGACAATAGAGAGCGGAGGTCCCCATAATAAGATCGCAAAGAATTAGTTGTGGTTCTATTTCCATGGATATGACGGAAGCAATCATCTTGCTTGTCAAGGTGATCAGCAACTCTACGAATCATGCCAGTGCTAGAGGATGAACAGGAACAAGCAGCTTCATCTGGTACTTGTACAAAACTAGCTTTCGTAGCTTTTGACACCCACTGATCTCTTAAAAGATGGTGCATCCTACACTTTTTTATTTTCCCATTAGATTTCCATTTGACCACTTGAATCATACCCTGATTCTCCAATTGTTTTAAATACTTTTCTGCGATATCTTCTGCGGCCTTTTTGCTGCTTTTCTGTTGTTCTATCAGTCCTTCAGCAACCCACAACACAATCAATCTCCTCACTGAGATGTCATAGTTTTTATCGAATAGCGCACAGTAGGAAAGGCAAAGCTTCAAAGGAGATGGCAATGCATCAGCAACCAGGCTCAAGTTATAGTACGTTGATGCTTGATCTTTATCAATTTGCTCTAATACTATTGACCAGTGGTCTAAAGTTGCTGGTGTGCTTGATAAAATTTCTGCAGCTGCAGAAATTGCTCTAGGTGAACCCATGCACTTCTTGACAATATCTCGTCCAAGTTCTTCCAACTCCATAGGGACTGGTGGTAGCTTTGCTGTAAATAACTCCCAGCCCTCTTCATCACTTAGTCCCCTCATGTGATATATAAATCTTTGGCTGTGATCTGATTCCGTAGAAAGAGCAACTGCTCTATCACGAGTGGTTATCAGTATTCTACTTTCAACAGGAAATAAACTTTGAAGAGCATCCCATTGTTTCAATGTCCTCAAATTATCCAAAACAATGAGATGCCTTCCATTTTTCAAGGCATCTTTGATCCTTGTGCTCAATTCTTCCACAGATAATTCCTCTCCTTCGACAGACGATTCCCCTTCTTCCTTTCCCATCCATAATTGATTTGCTACGATCTGCAGAGTCTCTTTCAGTTCAAAGTCTTGAGATAGGGTCACCCAAGCACGAGAAGGAAAATGATTAGTAACAGGAGCACTCTTATACACTTTCATTGCAAGAGTTGTCTTGCCTACTCCTCTTGCGCCTGTAATTGAAATCACTTTCCGGTTCCCTTTGCCCTCAGTTAACCTTGATACTAATATATGAATGCCTTCCTCTAGACCCACAGCTCGTTCTTCTTTGATATCATCCACAGAGAATGGTCGCTTTTGCTGCTCCAGATTCTGAGACACAGTTCCTGTCCTTGCCTTGAGAAGCGACATTCCCAGCTCACTTCCTTTGGAGATAAGTCTCAAGATTGAGGCCCTGATAATTTCAATGTCATCGATCACTTTATATATCTCTGCTCGGCCCTTGAAAAAGGATAAAGAGTCCTTGATACAATTACTGTAACTGGGCTGTTTTGATTTTTGCTTTCTTGAGAAAAAACCATCGGTTACAGCTTCTACTTGAGTCGTAAGAAATCTTACTTCCTCTCCATATCCTTCCAACCCTCTTTCTTCTATCACATTTTGTGCCATGAGATGCATTCGTGCCAGTCCTCTTTGTATCAGTCTGAAATCCTCCTCAAATCCATCAAGCAACTCTTGTTCAAAAATCAAGAGATTTGAAAGATTATCCATTGCTTTAACAAGGCTGGCTTCTGTTGTCTTCCACGGGCCTGGTGCCAATGTCTCCATCTTTTACTTTCACTGACAATTAAAGAACAAAAAAAAAAAAAAAGGGTTCAATCTGAATTCTGTTTCATATAGATTCAATAAATTAAGACCATCATTTCCGACAGCAGAAATAATTAGTAATAAATTAAGATGAAGACATGACTGATCAACATTTCCTCTACAAATTATAAAGACACAACCCATCATTAATAAGTTCACGCTTGAAAAACGAACAACTCCCCATCAAAACTTAGATCGAAACACGCAACAAAAGCAAATCAAGACCAGCAACAAGAATAATTAATTTTATCTCCAATATCTGATCAATGAATGCATATAAACAAATACAAAATCAATATAATTAACTTTTTTCTAACTGTCTGCATACTATCTTGTCACTCCACAACTTTGAGTTGAGCTAAAGAATATAATAATGAAGTACTCTTCTCGAGTATAAGGGTATCGGCCGCTCATCAAACTTGCATAGTAAAACCAGCTTAATTAGTTGGAACATCAAAAGGCTACCAAATTTCATAGCATTGCATGCAGCTATATATTGATGCAGACAAAACCAAATGCAGGATTCGTAATTTTTGTAATGATGAAATGGGGCAAACCATGGAGATGGTGTTAAGATATCTCACCTTACTAAAGCTTTCCAATTTTCTTCTTCTTGTCTCTACTCCTCTTCGTCTTCTTTGACAGCCAAATTCTCTTGCTCAAATAGCAATTTTGAGAGGGAATGAATGGTCTTAGTCAAACTGCAGAACAAGGTAACTAGAGGAAAAACGTGGGTCTTTTAGAAAACCTTTTTGCATGGTGTAAATGTGAGAACGTTTGGACTACAAAAAGGAACAATGGTGAAGTTTAATAAGAATTCCAGGTTTATATAATGGTTGGATATGGAATTACTTAACAGAAAAACATGGGATTTGAGCAGGTAAAATCAAAGAGTTAATCTTGGACAGAGGGAGTTTGGATTTAAGTTAGTTTATCTTTATCCATAATGCACAGAGTAAGGTGACATAATTTCCAATACGATGAAAGGAGAAAAGCAAGAACCAGCAATGGACGTGAATTTGTATATGAGATCAAGGTTACATTGGGGCTTTCCATGTAATTTCATCATTGTTATTGGTAACATCGGATGTTGAACTTTCTATCTCATTTCCACCTTTTAACCTATGCATTAATTAGTATTAAAATTCATTATAAGTTAAATGTCCCTTCAACACCATAGATAATAGGACGTACATTCTCACGTAGTCAATAATACATTTCTCAAAGAAAATTGGACGTACATGCCCTATATCGTAAATGGATCAAAAGAGTTCAATAAATTTTTCTTCAACTGATTTTATTCTTGAAAACCCAAACTTTCATAACCAGATTCAAAAGAAAGACGGTTGGATTAGAGGGTTAAAGGAGAAAGGAAATTTAGACGTAGAACAAGAAATAATTTAGAAGAAATAATTTGATTTTGGATTTATGGGATAGAGACAAATGGTGGAGCCAAAGTGAAGCAAGAGAGAGAAAGAATTGAGAAAAAGAATAATAAATAAAGAAATCTTTCGGTTTTATTACTTTGTTAGATTGATTTCACAAGAGGGAGAAGATAATACTTTTCAAAATGGGTTAGAAGTCAGTTTATGAGATCAATTTTAAAGAAAAAAAAAAAGAGAAAATAGATAAAAAATATTTTATGTAACATAAACTATTTTATATTGATCAAAGCAAAATTTTCAATTAACTCATAAAATAATTTATATTCTTAAAGATTTTTTTCCATTCCATACAAAAGTAAAGATTGAAAAAACTTTTCAATCTTACTAAACGGAACCTAAGAGATAAATGATCTTCTATTCAAGTTACTAAAACTGAGAGCATAGAAAAAGAATGATAAAAAGTTAATATCTCTTATGAATACTAATTTATCAAAAGAAAAATACTCCGTCATAATGCATATTAATGAACTTTTAGTGTCTAAATGTAATGTTATACAACAATAAGGTTATATATATATTATAATAATTTAAGAAAAAAATTTTAATATTTAGTTCATTGATTGAGACATAATCTCTTTTTATAAAAAATAGTAAAAATGTCAATAGATAAAAAATTCGTTAATTTTGAAGTACCTTAGACTTAAACCCAATTAATAAATAGGATATCTCAACCTTATAATTATCTGAATATTTTTTAAATTTATTACCTTAACACGAACCCTTGTACATATCTACTATTTAAATTCGTTTAAGAACCTGCTTATATAAAAAAATAATTAAAATGCTCTTTATGGGCACCTAATTACTTGAACTCAAATCCATATCCCTATCTATGTACAATAATATTTTCATTCATATTCCATATACGTTACTAATAATTAAATTTATAAAAGCATATAAATAATACAATTTCATTTAAATAATTAAAAAAATATCTCAAATATCAACTTAAACAATTAAAAATGAATATTCAAATAATAGCTTAAATATTATAAATTTAATTAATTATATGGGTTTATCCACGAAATTAAAAAAAATAACTAAAATTTAAAATTATTCTAATCTCACAATTTTTTTAGGTATATATTTTATAAGTTTATATAAATAAAGATATGTATATTATAATTAATAATTTTATAAATTATAATTTTTATAACATTAACACAAAATAAAAAATAAATATATTTATATTTAAACTATACACTCTTAAATATTTAATTTATTAGTTAATACACAATCTCTTACTTAAAAAACAAATTCAAATGTCCTTCTTTCAATATACGTAGTATATGTATTCTTCCACCAACATATAAAGTATATATATTAAAAAATATTATAAATAAATTAATAATTATAATTTAATAAATTAATTTAATTAACAATATAAATCTAAATAAAAAAATGGGCTATTCCGTTGTAATAATTCGAAAACGAAGGGCAAATCTATCACACCATTTAAAAAAAAAAACAAAAAATAAAAAAGGAGCCGAAGTATCGAGCTCAGCTCCACAAAATCCTTGTATTTTCTATCCATGGCCACGCTCTCTTTTTCCTCACCCAATCCTCTCTCCACTTCGTTTTCTTCATTGTCTTCAACCAACCATTTCTTTCCTCAACTATCTCTAACGAAACAAGAAATCCCCACCCTTTCCCGTTACAGTTCTAGACGTAGAAAGCTTTTTTATCAACCCACAAGGCTCATTCTCCACCCTGTTTTGCTGTTCAGTGGCTTTGATAAGCCCTTGGATACCCAAACTTTTCTTGCCTCTATTAGTGTTTTGGCTGCCATTGCACTCTCCCTCGTTCTTGGCCTCAAGGTAATTTCCCTTCTATCAAATACCCTTCAATTTTTATACATTTATATGTTAGAATTTGATGGATTAAGGTCGTTCTTTTTTTCTTTTTATGGTTGGTTTTCAGGGTGATCCTGTCCCATGTGACCGTTGTGCTGGGAATGGTATATAATTTATTTCTTTTCCTTTTTTTTTTCTTGTTTGCCCCTGTTTTGGAATAATGATAATGAAGCAAAGTACCACAGCTTAAAATGGTTTGTACTAATTAGAATGGCGAATGTTTATAACTTGAGATAGCTTGTACCTTTATGGAGCAGCATGCAAGAATAAATTTTGAGAAAAAACTCAGACTGTTAGAACTTGAATCTTTCGATTTAGAAGTCTCAAAGTTGTATTTATGAGACGAGAGAGGGTAGTAGTTTAAGTCAAACGAGTTTTTACACGGATAAAAAATGAAAAAGAAATCTTCTAATCAACTAACAGAGAAAAAAATTGCTTGTTAAGGCATTTTTAGTTTGGCTATCCGGACTGCCAATTGGCAAAGATTAATCTTTTGCAGTGGCAAGAACTTTACTTTCAGTGACTGAGGACTAATCTTTCAAAAGCAGTATGCGTCAATGACAGGACTGGAAAACACAAATTAGATACTTGGGTATGAACAATAGTTTAGAAGAATTGCAGTTTGTTTCTTTTAAGTTTATATGGTTTTATATTTTTCTTTTAATGAAAATGTAGCAACCAGCTCCAGTACTTCTTACATAAATCAAGTTTCTGCATAGAAGGCTTTCTATGCTTGTAAAACCATGTGATTTATTCAGGAAATGCAGCAAGCTGATAAATGATTCTTTTGTATGATGGATGTAGGTGGTACAAAATGTGTCTTCTGTGAAAACGGCAAGATGAAGCAAGAAACAGGCTTGATTGATTGTAGGGTGTGTAAAGGTGCAGGTAAGATTTACCATCAATATATAGTATGTAAAGGGCATAACTATAAGGATGTTTTTGCATATCTGTTTCATACTGATTTAGTTGATTTCAGTCTTCTGTAGCATTTAAAAGCCATTGTTAATTATGATTGCATTTAAAAAGAAAGTTTGAGTAATCTAGTGAATGTTGAATTTTACCCATGAAGAGCAAGATACCTTGATAGATGAGCTAATCATTATTTGCATTACCATTTTCTAGGGCTGTTTTTACGTTGAACTTTACATCACCAGCTTGTGCTTTCACATGGAAGTTAGCGTGCATGAGTTAATTTCCATGAATATTTCCATCAATTAATATAACTTTGACAAATTCATGGTTGCTTTTATGTGATGTCCTATTTGGTTTGATCTCTAATTCAATGTCTCAAAGACGTTTCAGACTGATAACTCTTAAGACTTTAATCTTTTGAATTCAGCCTCCTTGCTCTTATTTGTTAACGAAACTTCTCATATCATTATAGGATTGATACTTTGCAAGAAGTGTGGAGGTTCTGGATATTCAAGACGTTTGTAAGCTGTGGTTCTGCTTGCAACAGTCTTGTATATATTTTTATCCACGAAGCTAATTTACCAGTGCTTTTATTCATTCATTTAATCACTTCCTTTTTTTCCCATTGTCCTTTTCTCTTCTATATCGGACAATGTAAATCTGCATATGTGAATGTGTAATTACTAACAAAAGTTGTAAAGTTCTTTGTGATTTTGTTGGATGTGAATAATTCTGATTCTTCTTAAACCCATTTCCTAGTGACCAAATCTGGTTCTTAAAGACCTGAAAGTTGGTGGTTTACTTTTACTAATCTGGAAAAGGTAGAATGTTTTGCACACTTTAATGTGATGCAAAATTGTGGAGAATTATTGGTTTCTATTTTTTGGATGTAGTGGGGTAGGTGGATAAGATATTGATAATACAAGTATGGAGTAATGTAATCAACGTTATCCAGAGAGCAGAGGATTCTTCTAAGTAAATTTGTTGGAATGACAAGCAAGCATTTTCCCTTTTGACCTTTGTGCCAATGATATTGAACATTAATGACGCATGCTAATCTCAAATACAATTTGGAGTTAGCAATTGATTAGAGAGGACTGTGGTGATTGATGCAGGGGCACTAGATAGGAACACTGAAATTGTTCCATCAAGGCAACCATTCCCAAACCAACCAGTCAATTCTTTGGATTCCAAACCAAAGAATCGAATGGTTACTATTTTTAAACACAAGATTATTTAACTTAGTCCACTTTCGTGAAAAAGGGAAATTCCAATCTAATTCTTTGAACAGGAGACCAAATGCTCGAGTGTTCTAAATATAAAGATTCAAGTTGTAGTGACTTGATCTGATATTGCCAGCTGCTCGAAATTTATCTGCCTGCAATTTTAAAGGTGGTAAGGCTTTTGGGTGACTATAGTGACCAACGCGCATAATTTCAGAGCAGCAGCTGAAAAGCCATTTGTCCTAGTAAACCTTCCCACAGAAAACTACAGACACAAGGCGCCATTAGCCAAATTAAGATACTAAAAGCCACCTCGCTTTAACTTTTTCTCTGTTTCTACTCTCTCCTTCTAACCCTTGGCTTTTCTTCTTAACCTCCCAGTTCCAGCATGATCCCTCACTGAATGAGGGGAAGATGTCTAACACCGCCTCTGCTTCCATGACTATCCCTCCATTCTATGAGGTTGATGAATGCCGAGGAGTCCTTCGTGTTTACAGCGATGGCTCCATTTGGCGCTCCCCTAAACCAAGCTTCAATGTTCCTGTTGATGATGATGGCTCTGTTGTGTGGAAAGATGTTCTATTTGATCCTGTGCACAACCTTCAACTCAGGCTTTATAAGCCAGCTTCATCCTCGTCTGCCAAGCTCCCAATATTCTATTACATCCATGGCGGTGGCTTTTGCATTGGATCACGTGCCTGGCCTAACTGTCAAAACTATTGCTTCAGGCTCTCCTCAGAGCTTCAAGCAGCAGTGATTTCGCCAGATTATCGTTTGGCTCCAGAGAACAGACTTCCGGCGGCCATCGAGGATGGATTCATGGCTGTGAAGTGGCTCCAAGCTCAAGTTCTGGCTGAGAATCCCGATCCATGGTTAAGCGATGTAGCTGATTTTAGCAGGGTGTTCATATGCGGTGACTCAGCTGGTGGTAATATTGCTCATAATTTGGCGGTTCAGCTAGGGGCTGGTTCATCTGATTTGGCTCCGGTCCTGGTCAGGGGTTATGTCCTTTTAGCACCCTTCTTCGGAGGGACTGTGAGAACCAGGTCAGAAGCAGAGGGTCCTAAAGATGCCTTCCTTAGTTGGGAGCTCATTGACAGGTTTGTGGCAGACACTTTTAACCTTGTATTTAACATTTCTTTCACTTGCATGAGTTAAGTTTCGCCAACTGTAACTTAAAATCGAATGGTTTATATAATTAACACCTGTCCAGGTTCTGGAGGCTATCTATACCGATTGGAGATACGACGGATCACCCACTGATTAACCCTTTCGGACCTGTCAGCCGCAGCCTTGAGCATTTGAATCTTGATCCTATTCTGGTAGTGGTTGGCGGAAGCGATCTATTGAAAGACCGAGCAGAGGAATATGCCAAGAGACTGAAGAACTGGGGGAAGAAGATCGACTATGTTGAATTTGATGGACAGCAACATGGCTTCTTCACTGTTAATCCTAACTCCGAACCAGCAAAAGCGTTGATGCTAATTATCAAACGCTTCATCACTGAAAATTCCAGCTAAGACAGAGTAGTTGGGAGCTTGAGATTTCTTTTCTTATGTTGGCTTTGTTCCATCAGTTAGTATTAAGCTCGTCCCTGTTTGAGCTTGTCAGTGTTGCATGAAATAAAGTAAGCTGAGTGAGTGGAATTTTAGTTTGATAGCAATCTTTGGATTCTCAGATGGAGAGTGGACTGGAGACCAAAATGTTTAAGAACAAAACAAAGTTTCCTGTTATCGTTCTGAAACAGAACAAAATCACCAGCAAGCACTGGTCTGAGATTCTATATGCGAAGTTTGATAGTATTCTATTGACACCTAGTGACTCTGACACAAATGCGAAAAGAAATTTGCTAACCCTTGAGTCACTTGATTTATCAATATTGTTGAGTTAATAAATATTTATTTTGAATATTATAAATAAAATTACTTTATTAATATAAATATTCTACGTAACTATATAAATTACGAATTATGATATAAGAATTAGAAATATTCATTATCATTTAAAAATGATAATAAAAAGCTAAGTTTACAAAACAAATTTTACATTTTAGTTTTGTAAAATGCTTTTTCTATTATTTATTTTAAACTTTTTAATAAAATATTTTTTAGTGAAAATAATAAAAAATAAAATATAAATATAAAAAATTAAGTTAGGTATGATGTTAAAATCAATTTGAAAATAATATTTCTTTGATCTGGATGATAAAAAACTCTATGGGTCAATACAAGTTTTTTAATCAATTGTAAAAATAACCTAATTAAAAGATCGACCTGAATCAAAGGTCACGTCTCAAATCGATAAATCCAAATGTTAAGTGATCCAAATATAACAATTATGCTTTAAACTTTGTCAATTATGTTATATTTTAAAATACCACTACTTCTTTGTTTAAAGTGATATAATTTCTTTTTTATTAAGGGTAAGACCTTAAAACAAATATTTTCCTTCAATTTTATTTTGTTAATCTCATTAACTTGAACATTTAAGTGGTTTGGTCAGTTTATGGAAAAAAATTTATATTATAAAAGCATGTTAAGGTATTTGGCTAAAATTTTTAAATCTTTAGCTTATATGAGAAGTCCATTTGAGTTAGATAAAGTTTTGAATCAAAATTTTTTTTAAAAAATGTTAATATGTAGTAACAAATATTTAATGAGATTTTTTTATACTCTCATTATATCTTTTAATTTTTTATAAAATAATATAAAATTTATATTTTTCTCACATTTATATTTTTGTTATTTGCTTCAATTTTGTTCTTTTGGCATCATTTATTTTTATTCTTAATTATTACAAATTTATTTTATTTTACATATTTCTATCATTTTTAAACTTATGATTTGATAAAATAAAGTTGAGCAATTTAGTTGTATATTTATTAAAAATAAATTGAATTATTATCAAATAGTTTAGAATATTAAATTTTATGTATAATAAATTTATACTTAACCTAAGATTCATCATAGCAAAAATTTAGAATACAAAAGTGTCCCTAATTCTTGATTTATTATTTGACAGTGAGAATAATATTGACCATATTAATTATTGAGATTGAATGCACTCGGATCTTCGTCCTTCTTAATTTACAACTCTCCAATGGATAAAATCTTTTATATTTTCTGTAGACAGGTAAATGACTAGTCAACACCCATCATAGGATTTAGGGTTTTCTACACAAACCTATATTAATAGTTTATATATAAAATTGGAGTTTAACCCACCTTATTAGATTATATTATTGATTATAATATTGTATTTAGACCAATTAACTAAGCTTGATTTGATAGAAATCTAAAATTGATTAAATAATCTAAGTCCACAAGTAAAATTATTTAGAAAAATTTAACAATCTCTCACTTAAACTACATTATTTAAATTCAAATTTTAAAAACACATTTCCTTCAAACGACTCTCGAGTTAAGGTAACTAAAAATTTTATAAACTTAATTTAAAAATAAATTGGTCTTGTGATTACCTCAAAATATCATTTTATCTAATTTTAATAAAATTTGTGATATAGGAAAATAGTAGTAACTACATCAACCAAGATACAACAAAAACTATAATCGCATACACTACTCAATCCTGTTAACGTGTAGTCAAGGTGGTAATGTAGTAATGAATATATCCTAATGTGGACTTCTTATCATCTAAAGAGTTGGCAAAATCAATAACAATATAATCCTTCGACTTAAAATTTTCAACCTTTTGATAAACGAGCATATAATCTTTAATTTTTTTCAAAAATCTCATCACCTTTTTGTAACTTCATAACACTGCAAAAGCAATGTTAGGCTTCATGCACACTTGAAACATACATCAAACTCCTTCCTACACTAGCATATCCTAACTATGGTTGCTTTCACACCAATTGCTAAGTTTTATATATAATTAATTTACTCTTTAACTCAAGATTCATCATAGTAGAAATTTAAAATACAAAATTATACATGATTTTTTATTCATGATTTGATAGCTAAAACAAAACTGATTAGATTAACTATAAGAATTCAATGCACTAGAATATTCCTCCCCTTTAATCTACAACTCTAAAAAAAAAAATACAACTTTTCAATAATTGAGATTTTTAATGTTTTTTGTAAACAACAAAAGAGATCTAGCCTTAACTTTATGTAGTGAATCCCTAATCCCACTTATCATTGTATTTATTAAGATTTTTTACACAAACATACATATATAACATCAGAGTTTAACTTACTTTATTAAGTCATATTATGGATTATAATATTATCTCTTTATCAAGATCAAATTAATTTAACTTGACTTTGATAAAAGTTTAAAATAAGTTAAATAATATACGTTCATACTTAAAATTATTTAGACTAATCTAACATTTACATCCTTTAGCACTTCTACTTTAAGTTTGTTAAAGTTATTTTAATTTTGCTTTAAAATATTTTTAAAACAGTTTTACTGGAAAAACACTTGTAAAAATTTCAATCGATCCAAAGGACCTTGAAAGCTTTTTTAATTAAATTACTGTATATAATGATTTTCATTTAGGCCATCACATTTCATAATCCTCATTTAAGTGCAGTCTTGCTGATGGTTTGATAAGGTAATAGAGTTGTTTTGCCTGTAAGATTAAAGGACAAAGAAGGGTGCAAGACAGTTTAATTGGTTTTTGGCCAGGAGAGTTAATCCAATTTAATTGTTTAAGAGTCAAGACAGTTTATAAATGAAGCTGGAGAGTAAAATGCTTGTCCCTAAATTCTGCTTCAGCTACGATACTCAGCTTTCAAAAGGTTTTACGGTCTATATTCGGCTAGTTCTTTAATCTTTAATCTCCTTATCCTCCTCTGCGGCAGTACCTCGAAGCCACGTGTAACGTTCTCGGTACATTTCTGTAATTTCAAGTTTCCTTCACCAATAATTAAGATTCCACATATGTGAAAAAAGTGGCTCCACATCTCAGTTCAAAATTTTCAACCAGTCCCCAACGGTTCACAAGTTCGAAAACACATTCCCATCTTCACCGTCCATTTAAACCACTCTCCACCCTCCGATCCGAGATTCTCCCTCTCTTCCTTTGTATTTTCCCTGAAAAAGTTACCAGTATAACATTTCAAATCTCACTCTCTGCTCTCCAAGACTTCAACTTTCCCTCTCTCCAAAGACTCCCTCTAGTCTCGCGCTCTCCAACAACGTTTTCATTTAAAATGCCGTTCATTTCCGATACGGCGAGCGCAATCAAGAGCCGCTTTGGCTTCCACGACCGGTCCTCTTCATCCGAGTCCGTCTCGTTGTTGTCGGTGCGTAGTCCGCCGGATCTTCGGCCAAAATCAGCCGCAACGGAGAATCCCGTCCATTCCTCTGCCGTCTCGTCGGCAATTCGGAGCATCGGTGACTGGGACGATGATGCGACTGCCGAAAATAGTTCAGCGCCGCCGCCTTCTCAGAGCTTTGAGTTCCGTGAGGATCCGTCGTTTTGGAAGGACCACAATGTGCAGGTCAGTTGAAATATTCGAATCTTACCTGTAATTTCTTTTATGAAGTAAAATGAGAAAAAAAAAGAAAAAAGAAATGTGCTTGTTTGCGTTTTCTTTAACGATTTTTCTTCTTTTCTTGCATAGTATACAATGATTATTCAATTTTATTTGCAAATTGTTAAAATATGTTATTTTTACTGCAAGAAATTTTAAAAATGAACAAATAGGCAAGGCCTAATAAATTTTGTAATGTAAGTAGTTCACATGAAAGTACACTTATGTATCTAAAATTCACAATTATTAAAATTTTAAATTATAATTATTTAACAATATTTCCTTTTTTTTATATTTAAACACATTTTTTCTTTTTCCATTTGAACTAAAAAGTCAAGTAGCTAAATGAAAAACCAAACAAAGGGTTAGGAATATGGATGATATATCGAAGTTAATCTAATTGGAAGAACATTTTGTTTCTTTTTGGGAAATTAAATTAGGTTATCATCAGAATTCGTCCCCTTAGTAGTTCCGAAATATCGCTACAAGGTTACAGGAAGTGCATTAGGCAAGAGAGTTGTCAGGCAATTTCTTGGACGGGGCATCCGGAATCTCGTTTTACATTTGATGTTGTTGCTGATGAATATGTTAGCCAGGTATACCTCCTTTTAATCTGGTTTTATTTTTTTTTAGTTTTTTATTGTTGTTTAATCTTTTATGTTTCTGTCTCTGTTTATGACAATTGTAAGTGATTTTACAGGAAAATCTCTTCAAAGTGGCTGGATTGCCCATGGTGGATAATTGCATGGGAGGCTACAACAGCTGCATGTTTGCATATGGCCAAGTGAGCTTCAAGTTTTAATCGTGATGACTAAAAGTTTTTCTATTTTTTCCATGAATGGTTGATTAATTCTCCAATTTATAAGCGTCCAACTTTATTTGATTTGATTTGATTTTGTGCTGGTACTTGTTTTGGTAATGAAATAAGTAAAACTTTTTATGTATAGACTGGAAGTGGGAAGACTCACACAATGCTTGGAGACATCGAGGGAGGCACTCGGAGACACAGTGTCAATTGCGGGATGACTCCTAGGGTCTTTGAATATTTATTTACAAGAATACAAAAGGTGTGGTATATGTGCCCTACGATTTGGGCGTACATTGATTTAAAATTGCTTCACATCTTTCTTGAGTGCAATGCACTTCCATCCAGTGAAAATCAATTCTCTCTATGATCATTTAGACAATTAGATTATCTAAACAAACCCAAATGATGGGTGGTTCTTAGGGTTAGTTCTGCAAATTGAATGAGTTGAAAAGCTTTGTTGCTCAAATTTTGTGCAGAACTTCATTATTTAGTCACAACATATTTTCATAGAGAGACATGATATATGTGAAGAAAACCTGAGAAATTTTGTTCTTATTATAGAACTAATACTTTTAGGTGCTGAATATTTTAAATTTTTTATTTAATTGTTTGAATACCTTAACATCTTGAGTGCATTCGTTTGCTAATTCATGGGAAATGGCCATTTAATTATATACCCTTTGTTTGGATGGAGTAAATTTGTATAAGCTACATAACGACCAAAGTTTGTACCAGAAATTAAAAAATACTTATTGCTTCTCTCTGTTAGGAGTTAATGGTTTTCAATACCATGTTTCTTTCTTATACTATCTCTCTCTTTTTGTTATCACTTTAATCTCAGACTACTCTTCCTTGATATGTCAGGAAAAAGAGGCTCGTAAAGATGAGAAATTAAGATTTTCTTGTAAATGCTCGTTTTTGGAAATATATAATGAACAGATTCTTGATCTTTTGGATCCATCATCAACCAATTTACAGGTAAAGGTTACCTTCATATGGGGAACAATTATCTCGACCTTTTTTTTTTATTTTTACAATCTTTTTATATTACCTCATACATAGTGTAAAAGACAAGTTTTTAACTTTTCTGAGCTCAAGAAATTTACTACTCTTTTGGTGGTCATATGCAGATAAGAGAAGACATGAAGAAAGGGGTTTATGTTGACAATCTCAAGGAGATAGAAGTTACAAGTGCACGTGATGTGATTCAACAGCTCATTCAAGTACTGTCTGTTAATTATTAATTAATATATTTAGCTTTGGCTATGGGCAGCTCTCCTTCATCTCCTTAAGAACATCCAAGTTTTAGATTTTCGTACTTAAAACTTCCAAGTTCAAAGTTCTTAATTTAAAAACAGTTAAAAAGGTTTTTCTAGAGTTTGTTTTGAATGAATAAGCAACTAGTTCTTTTTCACTGTTGCCATTGTTTTATTGTGTCTTTTAATTTTTACTTCTGACCTCTTTACCCAACTTATTAGTAGTCTAAAGCTCTAGAATATTCAGGGTGCAGCAAACAGAAAGGTGGCTGCCACTAACATGAATCGTGCAAGCAGTCGTTCTCACAGTGTATTTACATGCATAATTGAAAGTAAGGTGCGTGTGACCTTTTAATTGAAGAATTTCTTTGACATCATTAGTAAATAATTAGTAGTTCATTCTCTTTCATGGATATTCTGTCTTTATCTTGGGAAAAGAAAATTCTAACCAAGTGTTTATTATCAGTGGGAATCTCAAGGCGTCACTCACCACCGTTTTGCTCGGCTTAATCTTGTTGATTTAGCAGGCTCTGAAAGGTACAGAGGCATGTTGAAGTATTAAAACCATTAACACTTTTTTCTTGTAGTTTCTCTACAATATATCATTTATGATTTACTCATGACAGACAGAAGAGTTCTGGGGCTGAAGGTGAACGCCTCAAGGAGGCTACTAATATTAACAAGTCTCTTTCAACATTGGGGTGAGTTATTTCTATACTAAATTTTTAATAATAGATTTATATTTGATGTTTTATGAGTGTATAAATCTAATACACTATCAATGAATCGTAAACTGCCACCACATTAATAAGTAAATTTAAAAGTTAAGAGTCTTTAAAGTAAATATTTTCATGGTACCACTATCTGATACACGATTTTACATTGGCAGACTCGTGATCATGAACCTTGTAAATATTTCCAATGGGAAGTCACTCCATGTTCCTTATCGAGATTCGAAACTCACTTTTTTGCTTCAGGTAAAGTGCTATATTTCAGTAAATATTACTTTTTAAAGTAAATTCTGTTATTAAATGAATCCTTATTTTCTTCTTTTCTATTGAGAATGTTTAATTTCCTGTATAATTCAAGGGTCTGCTATGCAAGAGAAAGTTAATCATGTTTTGCTATATCTTTCCAGGATTCTCTAGGAGGGAATTCCAAAACAACTATAATTGCAAATATCAGTCCATCTAATTGGTTAGTGGAAAGTTTATATGTCTGTGTTTCTGCACTAGTTGGTTGATTTAAACATTCACGTTTAATTTTTATTTACATGAATGAATCTGGTTTTTGACTATAGTTTGCACAGTGGCCTTTTATGTACTATTACCCTGTCTTTCAATGAGCTTATCTTGTTTTGCTAATGCTCATATTTGTAAATTACAGCTTTTCTTTTTCTTTTTTTCTTCTGGGTATCCTCTGCAGTTGTTCACTTGAGACGCTAAGCACATTGAAGTTTGCACAGCGGGCTAAATTTATTAAGAACAATGTATGAGATCTTTACTTGGCTACTTTAAGTACAACACATGCATATACACATCATTTGTGTGACTATCCTGAATTTCTAGCTTCCTCTGTTTTGTCTTCTTAGCTAATCAAATACACGCAGTGTATCAAGGTTTCAATTCTCGATAGGAATTGATTCAGGTCTTTGAGACTGTATGTTTAAAACTTCTAACTTTAAATGCCAATTTTATGGTAAGATATTGAATGTCTTTCAGGCAGTTGTAAATGAAGATGCATCTGGAGATGTTGTTGCTATGAGGCTGCAAATTCAACAGCTGAAGGTATCATCATGTTTACTTTATGCTCTTTTATCTTTCAGTATCTCCTAAATACTCCCCCAATCAATAATGTAACTGCAAAAGTAAGCAATTTGCTCATTTTTGGTTACTTGAATTCTATTTATCTGCCTGAGTTTCATTCTAATTTTGTTTTCTCCCCTGAATTCGCTCCCTTTTATATTGAGGAACCACACTGGGAATGTTTGAATAGTACTATACTTTAGTCTTATGTTTTTCTTTTTCTACTCTGAAAAATAAGGTAAAATTAGCATATGTATGTTTAGGAAATTTCAAGCAGCAAGCAGAATCTTCTGTTTTAATGAATCCAAATAATTGCTAACTTTGAATGATTTATTTTATTAAATTTCTGTTGCATACTACCGTATTATTTCAGGTTTCTAGTTATCCTTACATTGTTCAAAATTTTGTTTTCCAGAAAGAAGTATCCCGTCTACGAGGTTTTGTTAATGGCAGGGTTGAAAATCTAGATAACGATATATTGGCATCAAGCTTTCCAGCATCACCAGGGTCTTTTAAGTGGGAAGGAGGTCTTCATGGATCATTCAGTCCACTTACATCTGATAAAAGGATGTCTCAGGTCGGCAGAAATCATGCTTATAATTGAGGAAATACCTGTTCTCAAGTTGTTGATAAACTAAGTTTTTCTCTTCCTATTACAATTTTGTATTCCAGAAGAAAGATTATGAAGTTGCTCTTGTTGGGGCCTTCAAGAGGGAAAGGGAGAAAGAAGCCGCTTTACAGGCACTGACTGCTGAAAATCAGGCAGCTATGCAGCTGGTATGTGTGAGAAAAGTATCTTTTCTTTGTTTTATGGGTTTTAGGGCTGTAAAAGTTAACAATATTTTTTTAAATAAATGAGTAGGAAAAGAGTTGCCAAAATGAGGAAAGTTGGTAAAATTTGAAAATTAAAGTTTGGTAGTCCATCTTGAGGAATATGATATGACTAAAGTTTAATATATTCAGTAATGCAGGGAGCTTTTGTTGTTTACTTATGTATTCATCTCTACAGTTTACATAACTTGATAACTTACTAAAAGTAAAATTTGGTACTTTCTGTTGATAGGCAAAACAAAGAGAAGATGAAATTCAAAGCTTGAAAATGAGGTTACGGTTTCGAGAAGCAGGAATTAAGAGGCTGGAGGCTGTTGCTTCTGGAAAGATTTCTGGTGAGACACACTTATTGAAAGAGAAGGAAGAATATTTGAAGGAAATTGAGGTTTTACGAGCACAAGTTGATCGAAACCAAGAAGTCACTAGATTTGCCATGGAGAATTTGCGACTAAAGGAAGAGATTAGAAGGCATGTTTTACTGATGCAACTCTAGATTCTCCATTTAATTCTTCAATAATTATCCAATTTTTTTTTACATCGTCTACAACTTGGAACATAAGATTCTGTTATAAATTCTAAACATTGTTCTAACCGGTTCTTGAGGGCCAGATATGATGAATTCTTATATCCTGAAAGAAAAACTAATTAGTAAAGTGTGTGAGGCTTTGAATCCAAAAGAAAAACCCTTCAAGATCTTTCTTGTGTGATGTCATAATTTTCCAAATGACAATTGAAAGGTATCCTAGTTCTTACATGTGCTGTCAGGATGAATCCAATCCTTGTCCTTATTTGTTTAACCTTATCCTTATTTGTTTTAATGTCAGACATCTGTCTCATGTGCTTCCATAATAGTGTTAAATGTCTTACATGTACTGTTGGGATTAACCAATCCTTATCCATACTGATTTTAATGTCAGATATTTGTCTTGCTTCTATAATTGCATAAAAGTTTTAATTTTTGTTTCTTTTGGCTTCAAATATTACAAGTTATTATTATTCTCCGTATGAATAGGAATAAATGAACACTAATATAGTGCCTCTAATGTTTGTTGCTACTCACAGATTAAAGTCCCTTTGTGATGAAGGTCAACAAGAGATGTTGAATGAACAAATTAAGGTGTTACATAATAAGGTGAAAAATAAGATCTTCAAATTCTTTTCTAATTTTTGAATTCGTGGTGGTCTTGCTTACATCATTGACTAATGTGCAGTTGCTAGAGGCACTTGATTGGAAACTTATGCATGAAGCAGATTCCTTAATAATTGAGGTTCTTCCTAAGCTTTGTCATAAATATTTAAGGCGAGTTATTTTTGTGAAGAATTTTTCTAAATTTTGGTTTTTGAATATTCATGCAATGCAGAAAACAAATTCTAAAGTGGTGTCAGGCATTACTGATGATGGCAATCAACTGATCTCTAGTCTGGTGAGCATATTATCCATTGTCTTCCAAGTTTATGCATCTATATCTTTGGAAACTGAAACAGTCAATTTAACCTGAATTAACAGCTAGATTACTTTTTCAATGCATCAGTTGGTTATATTCTATTATTGCAATATCATAAAGAATAAACTGCCCTTTCTTGTGTAGGTTCTGTAACTTCATTCTTATGATGTAAATAGAACTTTTATACATTCCTAAATCTTTTGAAAATGATATTTTTCTTGTCAATAGAATGATAAGTAAAAGTTAGTTATCCACTTAAAGGTCCTTGATTTTTGCTTATTTTTAAATAGATTCCGTAGAAAAGAGAAGAAAAAGGATGTAAATGCCAAATCTTATAGATCTACATCATGATTCTTTGTTATTTTTCATCCATGATTACAGAAGTGGACTTTAACATCTCAGTCTCAGCATGATTCTTGTGTGAAGCTAATCATTAGCTGTAGTTATTATTATGCCTTTATATTCTTTTTCGACATTTTAGCATGGTTTGCTATTACTTTTTGCTAATTGCTTTTCCTTTAGAATGCATTTGGTTATGACATCATATAGGATTTTCAGTAATTTGAACAATCTGTTGTCACAATTGAAAAAAAGAAAACTGTTGTCTTTTGCAATATGTCTTCTTCTTGCACAAAAATATACTACTACATAGTTCTTGCCTGAAAAAAGCTGATATATTAAAAACAGGAGCCAGATTCAGCTTGGTGCTCTTCACTGAAGGAGGAAAATGAATTCCTTAGAATGCAGGTAGCTATGCTTGGATGAATCTGTTGCTTTGAACCTGTTTATCTAGTAAACTGAATTTAATGTGGTTCATCCATCAATGTTTTCTTTTGACAGGCCATTCACAACAAGGCAGAAATGAATGCACTCCAGAAAAAACTTGAATTTTGTCTTGAAGAGAAAGAAGAGTTGGAAAGGTATGTTCCTATATATATAGATATAAGTAAAATCCAAGGGAACTTGTAGTCATGTAGCATCATATATTGATTTGTGCTGCCTTTAAACTAATTTATTAATTTGGCAGGTATGTGAGTGATCTGCTTAAAAAACTTGAAGAAGAAAGATCTACAAGACCAGTGAAAGAAGAAATACAGCAATCAGAGCTTCGCTCATTGTCAGTGGATGTGCCAATGATCAACCTTAATGACCAAATGGAGCTTAAAACAATGGTTGATGCCATTGCAGCTGCAAGTCAGAGAGAAGCAGAAGCACTTGAGAGAGCATTTAAGTTGTCTCAAGAGAATGATGAACTACGATTAAAGCTTAAGGGCTATGTTGAGGACAACAAGCAACTCCTTGATTTATATGAACAGAAAGCTGCTGAAAGCAATTTTAAAAGTTTGAATGAAGCAGACAGTATTCATGAAAATGACACTAAGGATTGCAGTGATGCTGGCTTAGATGAACATAGTGAAGAAAAAGAGGTGGACTTGAAGAAGAATGTTGAGAACCTTGAGCAACAGCTTATGGAAATGCATGAAGAAAATGAAAAATTAATGGGTTTGTATGAAAGAGCTATGCAGGAGAGAGATGAATTCAAAAGAATGTTTTCTTCTGGAAGTCAGAACAGAAGGGAGGCTAGAGAACTTGAATGCCCAGAGAAGCTAGTTGAAGTTGATGGAGGGGAACACGGTTTGGATAAACCTGACAATCAGTTTGAGGCAAAGGATTTAGAGCAGGAATCTGATCTTCTTGGATCACAAATGCACTATGCTGGAGAAAGTCTAAAGTTGAATAGACTTGATCATTTTGAAGTGATATCCAATGTGGAGGTGCATGCAGATCTTGCACCAGAGACAGGGAATCAGATTGATGATGCTACAGCTTCTTACATGGAAATAGAGCCAGTAGATACAACTGCTGCAAAGATGTTGGAAGATTTAAATTCTGCCACAGCAATACTTGGCCGGGCACAGGAAAAACTTTCAGATTCTGCCAAGACAGTTACTGAATTTGGTTACCTTGAAAAAGCGTTCTGTGAGATTGATAAGCTTTCCAAAGAGATTGAAGTAATGGAATGTGGAATAAAGGAGAAGCAGCAACACCTTAAATCCGTTGCACTCCTTTCTTCAAAAACGAAAGAAAGAAAAGTTCTAACTGATAACAAGTTATCAGCAGTCAAATATTCTCTATCAAGCTTTTCTTCTTCAGTTGCTTACTTTGAGCAGCGTGAAGCTCGGGCGAGGGCAAGGTTAAGTGCTTCTTTGTCTTATTTGGACAAAAAGAAAGATGAATTGGCCCATCTTAATAAGTCCAAGGGTGAAATTGAGGCTTCCTTGATTAAGATGCGGGAATCTGAAGCTGAAGCAAGGAGCAACCTTGTTCTCTTGAAATCAAAACTCGAGGAAGAAAGTAAAAGACAAGAGACTGATAAGGTTTTATTTGCCATTGATAACTTGGACAAACTAGACTCCTCACAGAGAAATTTGTGCTTGGCTGGTAAAGCTACTGAGTTATTGAAGACCGAGGAAGAGAAAAGCAAGTTGCAAAGTGAGATAAAGTTTTCACGAGAAAGTTTGGGAGCCATAAAAATGAGACTGCAGGATTTGAATAAGAAGCTTGTAAAGGTAGAAACTGATACGGAAGCTGTCCTAGTGGAAGTACAGAAAGGATCGAAGTCAGTGCAGGAGTTGGAGCTTGCGCTGCAAGGTGTAGTTTTAGAGAAAGGTACTCTTGTTGAGATTGGGGAGAATGGGAAGACTGAGATCGAGAGCTTGATCCTCGAATATCAGCAGCATGTCTTTGATATAGATCTGACCGAGGAAGAGATGAAGGTAATGGATGAAGAATTGCAGCTTGACTTAGGAAGAGTTGAACTGTTGCAAACACTCAGAGCTACAGCTGCCAAGAAAGTAAAGCAATTGGCTTCAGGCTTCTTGTCTGAGAAGCTGGAAGCTGATATACAAAGTGTTTGTGCATATTTTGAGGAGGCAAAGATATTGTTAGGAATGGATCATTCAAGTGACAGTTAGTCGTTATTTAACTGCCTTGATGTTTCCCACACACATATGCACTGACCTTGTAATTAACAATTTCTTCTCATTAATAATTGTTCTATTGCTTCGCTTCCTTAACTCTATACAGGCATGAGAAGGAATCCCATAATAGAATTTTATTTTTATTTGGATATAGCAAGTGGAATTGAATTTAACTTTAAAAAACTAGGTTTTGTTGGTAATTCGATGTATGGGATAGGTCTGTGTTTTCTCAAGGGCTCAATTTCCACTTGATATTACTTTGGTGGATTAGAGTAGTTTAGTCCTTCTGCATGTGCATTATTCTTTTTTCTCGATAGTTTGATTTCTTATATCATTAAAAGTTTTTTATTTATAAAATTCAAAATTTATTATGACATGTAAATTTTTGAAATTAATATACTTTCTACTTAGAAAAAACACTCACCATATTACAACTCTTTCCCTCCTTTGCATTCCAATGAGCAAGAGCGTCCCCTTGTACGGGGGGTCATGACTCTTCCAAAATTTTTGAAATTTTTTATATATTATATATTTTTAATAATTTTTTATTAAATAATTAATATAATTAAAAATAATAAAATGATTTTACAAATTTTATTCAAATTCTTAATTTTTTATTTTTAAAATTTTTTCATCTATTTTTTTTCTTTTCTGTTTTTGTATTGTGAAATTATAAAAAGTAAAGTTTTTATTTAATTTTTTTATTTATATTATTATTATTTTTTCAATTATATTCTATTTACTCATATATTTTAAGTTGTTATAGATTTTTTTTTAATTTTTATAAATCATCAATCATATTTTTTTTTGATTATATAAGTTATATCTCCCACTTGCTACGGTTTTTTTTATTATGTGGATTTTATTTTTAAATAATTTTAATTTTTAAAAATTAAAAAATTATTATATATGTAATTCTCAAATATAAATTCTAGTGTTGCATTATTAGTTGTTGTTTAAAATTTTACTAATATATTATTTTTTATTAATCTTAATTATATAAAAAAATTATTTTCAGTATATCTTTTTAATATGCTTTACATTTTATATTTAATTGAAAGAAAATTATCTTGAGTATAAGAAGAAATTATTAATTCTGTATATCATGTTTAACTATTTATATTTTATACATCATAGCTTAATATTTAATATTATAAATTTAAATATAATAAAATAAAAATATAAAACAAAACAACTTTAAAAAAAGAAAAAAGGAAAAAATAGACCCAAAAATGCTGAACATTAGCTTTTTCCATCCGCACCAAATTATTAACTATAATTTGTTCATCACAAAGTGGAGAGATAATTACAAGAAACCCAACATTTCCTACTAAGTAGAATAACATTTTCGAAGTACACCCCAACTTTATCAAACCACCAAAGAAGCCAAATCCACGAGTCTCCATTTCTGTCTTCTTCAATCATCTGACCCACGATGGAATCTCCCTTACACTTGTTTCAAGTCAATGAGGAATTTTACCATCCACTTGCCCTAGACATGTTCTACTGTCTTCTCCACCTTGTATTGCCTTATTTCTATCCTCAACTGATTCAATTCCTGTACCAAAAGAATCTGCAACATCCTTACTCTACAAATCTAATTTTGCTTAATTACTTATTCTTCTGCATATATAAGAGTAAAGGGTTTGAAATTATATTTATTTTTATTCTTATTTTTGGAATATAAAGAGATTTATTATTATTTATTTCTAGTTAGGCTTTGTAAAAAAAAATAAAAATTTGAAGTCATAAGATAGGAACTAATTCCCTTTTTTGTCATGATCCATGAAAGTGCTCCACAGAATTATTACGAAGAAAAATGCATTTAAATTGTAATTGATTATTGCAAATTACCAAAGTAGCTCAAGGTGGCCATTTGGTTTGAGATTATTACAAGGTTAAGCTCTATTTTATTCTCGACAAACAATTAAGCATTTGCAGAGACGCTGGTTAGATTGCAAATCGTCGCAAGTACATTTCATTGCCATTGCTGAAGCTCCAAATTTCGCATTTATGGCTTCAAAACATTCGAAACCTCCATTATTGCCGCATGTCCCAGGTACTGTCAGTTCAGTTGGGCAAAATTGGATACCCCCTGCAAACATTAACCAAATGTTTTGTACAAAATGAGTGATTAAAGCCTTAATTTTCTCTTATTACGGAGTAAGTACTCCACTCTCTTTATCTGATTTGGTGCACCCAAATTACACTCAAAAAATTTGAAAATGAATTTCAACCATCAAACAAATTTTATTCAAAGGGCTTTCTCTTAAAGAGTAAACGGAAATACCTTGAGAATAAGAAGGGGAGGGTAGAGCTACTAAAAGAACAAGGCAAAGCACGGGGAGGGCAATTGACTTCGCCATGATTTCTTCTTTTGCTATCCTCACTTGTGTATACTTTGCTTTACTGCTGTGTTTGCTCATAAGCATGAGTGGGCACGGATTTATAAGTGCTTGAATGAACCAAGTCTGGTAAGAAATCTCCTTCTGTCTTGAAAAGAGAGATTTTGTTCATTTCCCATATTGGTGATTGAATCTCTTAATGAGATTTTATTTAGAGCAAATTAGTCAATTTTAAAGGTTGTATTTAGAAACAACATGAATCCCAAAATTCATTTTTGGAAACAATTTTTAATTGAAATGATTCCACAAATCACTCGCTGCGAAAATGCCAACTCTTGGCCAGCTTACCAACGAAAGTCAAAAGTTGCTTGTAATATGTGAGCAAGAAAGGGTAAAACCCTGTATTACTGAACCAGCACATTTTAGAGATGGAAAGGGTTAATTTAGACAGCTTGAATTATTAATTACGTGCAAGCATGAGGGGTGGAATTTTATGGAACGATGATCACTCTATAGTATACTTTGCCCAAGTCACCCTACTTGTCTCTTTGAGCAACTAAGGTTTCATGATGTGCATGGCAGATTTGTCATTCCTTATGGGCATGATGACAATCATCTTGCTAATTTTCTTTTCTTAAATAGGAGTTCCGAGAATGGCCATCATTGTGGCATGTTGACGCTTTATCTTTTTAAATAGGAGTTTTGTGAATGCACATCATTGTTTATGATTAACAATTTCTTGAACATGCAATATAAAACTAATTGAAAATAGATCAAGTAATTATTATTTTATTCATATATCTAAGATACTTTACACTTAATTGATGAAGAATTTTTTATATCATCACTTTGATACTCTTTTTTATATGTAAAGACAACGAACTTATCATGTGACATGAATTTCACAAGTAAAGATAATGAATCTATCGTATGGTTTGAACATTGCATAAAGACATAACAAGTCTATAACAAAGAAGTTAAAACTGAAAAATATTAATTTTATTTAAACTAAAAAGTAATAAAAAATAAAATTAAAAAGGGTAAAAAAGGAAAATTAAGAAAAAAAAAAACGAAATGGGAGCTAGACTACCATGGTAGCCAACCCCCCTCCTTTCCTCCCAAACCTCTCGAAGTCAAATAGGCAATTAACAATTGCCAAATTTTCCTTTCTTCTCCCCCTTCGGGACTAGCTAACAATTTTTTCTCTCTATTTCTTTGGCAAAGAAGAAAACCGTGCAAAGGCATTAAATGCCTTTTGACGTAGTCGGATTTGGTGACAGAGAAGTCACCATTGATTGCCTTGGGATTTGACCCCCAATTGCATTATAAAAAGAGTTTTTTTATAATAAATGGGGGTCATGCATAAGGTGTTTTAAAAAATAAATTTTTTTCATAATTTTAATTATTTTTAGTCAAAAGAATTAAAATTAGGATAAAATTATCTTTAATGAAATTGACTCATTTGTTTGGTTTCGTATATCAACCCGAAACTTATTAACGAGTTAAATATGTTTAGAAAGTATGTAACTCTTCAGTTCTCAATGACAGACCATATATCTCCATACAAAAAATTCTTTGAAAAGCATTCCTCACCCATTCAACTTTTGAGCATTTTTTGTAGTGGTAGAAGCATTTTGAAGTGGTTATTATTCGCATAAAGGTAACTCAGAGATTGAGTAGTGAGTGGAAGTTCACATTACGCGGAGAAAGGTATAATATATTTTTATTTTATTTTTAACCATATGGAGAAATGTTTTTAGGGCTATTGCTATTGTTCATGTTTTTCATTTATAATTTTTGAGCATAAACGTAGGCATATTACTTGTTCATATTGATATTCTTGTTGTTTGAAATTGTTGAATATAAACATGTAGTTGGTATTGTTGGTGTTTTTGAATTCGACAGGTGACAGGGTATGCATGATTGGTTGATTTGTATGCGTTATTACCCTTTGATAGGAATTGGGTTTAGGGTTTAAGTATTACATGACTAAGGGCTTGCGTACATGGTTGACACCTTATGTATAATTGGATTTTGGTATGGCGTCACTTAGGGTGTGCGTGATTGCAGTAGGCACTACGTTGAGGGTTTAGTATTGTGTAACTGGTTAATATGTCATTGCGTGAGTGGTTGATAGGTCATTGCGTTGGTGGTTGATAGGTCATTGTGTGAATATGGTTCAGGCATGGCGTCACTTAGTGCGTGCGTAATTGGTTTAGTTGTTCTTAGCATTGCATGACTTGTTGATAGATCAATGCATGATTTAATGTAAGTAATTGCGTGACTTCTTGATAAGGCACTGTGTGACTGTTATCTGTATGGAAGTACGTGAGTATTATAACTACATGAAATTTATCTCTATGTGTTACATGATTGACATTGTGTTCATTCTATATTATTTTGGGTCAACTATAATGCTTTAATATGTATATGTCGATTTACTTAATAATCCATGCTCGACATGTGCATTAATTATTTTGTTTCAGGATTGTCTAAAAACAGTTAAAATTATCGTGAAGGTCATTTTTAGACTAAGCTTAAAGACATGCCTCATTGAATCATGTGTTTAGCATATCGATAGCCCAAGGGTTGAGGGGAGGGGCATGGTTAAATTCAATGCCTCTTTGTGCTAGTCATGGAACCAACATTGGAACATGCTTCGATGCACTCGATCAAGATGGTTATCGGTATTTTTTTGCCTACCTCAGACATGAGTTAATACACTCTACAATGTTAGATGTCATGAGCTTGCAGTGCCTTACCGGTGATCGTGCACGTGCCCATCTCTCAGGATGTAATATCAT